TGTACTGTGCGAAATCAATCGATCTTGCAAGAATAAATTTTTGGACATCCCTCTTCTAAGAATTCCAATTGAGTGTGTTAGTGTGGCCAGCTCAGGGCAATATGATATTATAAACACAGCACATATCACGTCTCTGCTGTTTATAACTTCATAGCAAAGAAAACACGCCATTCATAACAGCTTGAACGAGGAAACCGCTCGCAAGAGCAACAGGAACTTTGCTGCAAGACAGGCATATGTAACGATGACTTAGCGCAGCTAAACTCGTGGCTTATTATACTCTGTTCTGCTGACAACAGGGCGGCGAAAAATCTAACAATCTACAGCAAAACCATCAATTATTATGGGCGTTAAAACATAGGTGTGCAGCTGGACAAAACATAGACGTCGAACCCCCGCAGACGATTTAAATACCTGACGAAACATACACGTCAAACCACGCTGAACGGTTAATAACCCTTGCAAAAATGTCCCCGAAGAAAAAGTCGCAAAACAACAGCCATAAGAGAATAAAAATAACCATAGAAATGAAATGTGAAATCATTGAAAAGTGAGAACGAGGTGTGAGCGTGGCAGATGAAGCACGCACATACAGTCGGTCTACATCAACGATTTGCACTATCCTCAAGATAGTTCATTCCGCACAGAAGAAAAGATGAAGATGATTCACGCTCCTTAACAATGTATGTATAATTTTCTTTGAATAAACGTTATACATAACATTTTTTGAATATTTTTTTTGGCATGGAACGCATTATCATATTGTAACGTGTTTTGCGTTACTGATCCCACTTCTGACACCAGTGTAACGTGTTTGGTTACTGAAGACGCCGTAGAGATGGTTAATTGGTTTATTTAACAATCTACAAATAACGGCTACAATGACTTATCACACAGTTGTGGGGTTTCACACTTTATAACCCTATGCGCAAATCAGTTCACTCTGTCTTCAGTAGTCTACACGTATACAGTATGGGAGCTAGGTATCACTGTATCACACGCTCCCAATTACACAATCACACTCACGTCCGGATCTTCTTTCCGCGACGGTTGTTATACTCCACTATAGTCGGCTGACTGGAGAACTGTTGATAACACACTCGCTCGTCGACTACTTAACTCAGCGATGTCCACATTATAACTGTGTTAGGCGGCTGCTACAGTAGAACTCTCTGGTAGCCACATTAGAACTGACTAGTTGCTGGCTAACTCGGCGGTAGCTCCAGGACTCGCTGACCGACCCAGCACAACTCGACTCGTAGCTGCTGTGGAGTCCACTTATATAGCCTTGCACTGTTGCTAGTGTGACGTGGCGTATAGCCTAGGACACTGTTGCTAGTGTGACGTCACCGCTGTTGATTAGCATTGCATAGTTACCAGGTTATGGGGCTCGGCTATCTTCGGCTCCGCTCGTGACGTCACCGCGCGTTGCGCATTGCGGGGTGATTACTCGCCTATCACGCGAGCGCTAAGTTACCGCTACGTGGAGCTGGGGCGGTAGGGATCAACATGTCACAATATTTTACATTAATTTATATGGGAAAAATTGTTTTGCCTAATGAGTGTATTGCATTACGAGTAAAATTCTGGAACAAATTATGCTCGTTAAGCGAGGTTCCACTGTATCCATATTATCTGCACCTCTTTAGGTATATTCTTCAAGATGTCCATAAGTTCTTCAGTTTTATATATTTATGCTGAGTATTCTGGGTGTACTGCATACTTTCAGTTGTCCTTATTGTGTCTGATGTTATTACTGTGTTCCTTGTATCTTTCCTTGAAATTTCTCCCAGTTTGTCTTTTATATATTTTGTTGCATCAGTGACATTTAACACTTACCGGCACTGTTGAAATGCCATTTCAGTGTCAGATATTCGTTGCTGGAGGGTTTACAGAATTATGGGATAAAATCATAAATTTTATCAGTTTCTGTTACATACAAATGTGAATTTGTCACATGTGCAATGTCTGGCAGTGGAATCTGGTGAGTTTGGTGATGATGTAAGGTTGGGGAAGTACAGTGGTGTGGATCTATGGCTCACCTCTGTTGACCCTGAACACTGCAGTTTAGTCAGACATTGACAGCTTGCCAGAAAACATGCACTTGTTTACACTAACTGCGTATATTGAAACAGAATCAGTTACCACTACACACTGTCAAATTTGTGATGGGTTTAATGTTAATAGGTATGGTTATGTTCCTTCACGAAACACAGTTTTCAGTTTAACAAGTTTACCATAACAGATAGTATAAGGCCTTCATTTTCTGGTAGTGGATGTACTGCTTGCATCCCAGAATCCATGGAAACAGTGAGGTAAAGTAAAAAGTGTGCTACATTAAGACATGCATCGACCTTAAACTTATCAAGACAGAAGCATTTGTCACATTTTGCCTGAAGATTTAGGATATGGGATTATGGGCACTACTGCCAGTACTGCTAGAAAAACAGTGGATTTATTGAGAAATGTTTGCCTCTTTGGCAATGTTCAGTGACCTTGGCATCTGAAACTTTCAGCTCCTATTATTTGCTTTGAAGCAAGAGCATTTTGAACCAGGCCTAATCCCATTCAGGAACTAAAAATTAGGGAAGACAAGAAGTACAAACCATTGGCCAGACTAAACTGAACTGGATTCATCATTCAGACACGTGATTGTCTAATTACAGTACTGTCACAGTAGTAATTCCTTGGCCGGCCTTATAAGTTGTGGCTAGTTGAAAGCAAAGCATAGAGAGGTAAATTCATGTAGGAATTGAAGCATTGTTATGAAACTATAGGTATTTACCTTAGATGTCATTACATCATGATGATATAGTAATGTGACCCCTATTGTATGAGAATTAAACTACAGACTTGGGGCTGTCAATTGGTAAAAACTCAGTGGTGGTGTTGGTTTTTTCTTACTGCAGATTCTTAAAATTAGGATTGACATTACAACTACTGGTATTTTGGTGAATGAGTGAGGCATGGGGAGTCTTAGTATTACCAATGCCAGATCTAATGTGTTAAGTTTGTGTATCCCATTTTGCTTCTATTTGTCATCCTTCTCCTGTGTTATATCTGTTTTTTCCTGTGTAATGTTGTTTACTGTGTATGCTGATTTTAGATTGGTGTTCCTGAATATCTTTGTTATTATCGTCATCTGACTTCCATAATATATGAACCATAAAGAGACTGATTTTGTCTCTTTGTTATTTCCCCTTCTCAGTTTTATGTTGGTTTCCTGTTTTCTACACCATTCCTTAATTTTTCTGCATTGTGAGGTGGTATGTTGTCTGTTCTTTTTAGCATGTATTTGAATGCTGTGTTCTTATAGTCAGCTCAAAATATGCAAAACATACTGGACACAGTGTGGATATGAAGAAGTCAAAGATGTTGACATCTTGAAGATTAGAAGATTATGCCTAAAACAAGAGATGTGGTATAACTGGGAACATTTTTGTACATGTAGATTTCATAAGATTATTCAGTTCAACCAAGTCATGGAAAAATCAGAAACACTTTTAAAGTCAAAAGCATTCTGATCTTCAGTTGGAACTGATTATCATATTTTCTCAAATACCTTACATTCTTAAATGAGCAGGACAGCTCATATTTTAACAGAAAAATAAGTTCATGCAATTTTTTTAAATATATAAAAAGGTCAAATTATCCTTGTGCTTAATTAATTAATTAAGCACCACGACACATAGACATATGGGAGAGTGGCGGGATAGCTCCACCATTCTTGGTCTCAGCACTGGGTGCAGGTGAGTGGTCAGCTTCACGCCCTGGCCGCTTTACACTCCAGAGGAAGAGCCCCTAGTACCCGTGGATAGGAGGCTGGGTGGGTGCCTAGTATAAATGTGCATGATACTTATTGTCAAAAATTGAAATACGATGTTCTTCATTTATTTTTGTTACAGCCTTTTACATTACACAATGTGGTAGAGCTGGGAGAGACCTTTTTCTAGTACACAAATAATATTATCCAAAAGAAAGCTTCATCTCTTTCATGCTTGCGTAGAAACATTGGACTCCACATTCTGTCACACATGCTAAGGCCATTAACTGGCACATTTCAGTTGATACCATACCAAAACTGCCTGATCCATGTATCATATTCTCTGCCAGCAGCCCAGTTTCTGACTTTGGCAGTAACCACAAAAGATGCACGCCTATAGTACCAGCAGAACATGCACATTTCTCAGAGATTGTCTGCTTGTGCACTGGGGATATGTAGTTGTGTGAAAGTTTAGATGGAGCTTGTTGTGAGTGGTGTTGTAATTCTCATCACAGATAAGCTGCAGAACCTTTTAATTTCCTTTCCATTTCTTCATATTTTTCTTTCTGTATTGCTGTCTATGTTGTGCAAGAAAATGTGGTAGCTCTTTGCTAGGTGCAGCACAGAATATGTAGCACTTAAGTGATTCATCTATTTCTTCAAATTAAATTTATTTTTTCAGTTTTGAAAAGTGCAGGGTGTATTCGGAAAACTATGGTAGCTGTTTTTTAAGTGCAGCACAGAATATGTAATGCTTTTATGATTATTTTTCTCAATTTATATTGATGGAACATGGTCCCTAATTTTATACAATAGTTTGTCTTGTACTTCTGCTCATGCCACTCATGCACAAACATGATATAATAATTTAATTTGCATCAGAATTGATGTTGGATGCTATCTTTTGGATAATTCATGAAGTAATGTGCTTGTTAGATAACGGAAAAACAGCTGACATGTTTTTGTAGCCTTTCACAATAAATTTGTTTTCGTGGTTGACTTATTTAACCAATTTAACCAACCTTTTTTTGAAGTTCACAAGCAGTTTGAATTTCAAACTCTTCACACATCCCTAACAAAGAGTATCTGGTATGAATGAAAGACCTGACATTGCCATTTGTATTCTCTTTCACTGCTGAGGTACCAGTGAGTGAATTTGACAGCAAATAACTGATCTTCCAGCACGTTTATTTTAGATGTTTGCCATGTGGTATGAAAGTGCATTATCTGGATCCTTGTTAAGTGCTGTGTTTTGGAGCTTGAGAAATACATTGGATTGTTGCAGCTATGACCAAAGAGGAGAGGGTGCAGCGTGATTTGGAGCAGATGCCAAAGAAGCGATGCACCTCAGATGAGGAGGAGCGTCAGGCCAAACAGGATATCACTAAGGTTCTGACATCTGGAGAGGCAGATGGCAAGTAAGTGCAGGACTGACAGTCATTATGTCTTGTGTTAACCTTGTAATATCTCTTTAGTGTAGAGTGGATTTTCCAATAAGTAGTATTCCTTATTCCTTTGTATTATGGCTGTATGAGGTGGAGAATCAAACTTCATATTTAGAATATTCTACTAAACAGTCCTCTGAGACTGAGAGTCCAAATTCTCCACCAATTTAGTGATGAGTAACAGTAGTCGCTGTCTAAACATGATTCAATTGGTGGCATCAGAAGGGCTAGCAGTAGGATAGAACCAGTTAGAAGTTTCATGTGTTCAACATAGATCTCCCCAAGTCAAGCAGTGATGTTAAACATGTCAGGAAAAAACATGCGAAGTGTTAAAGAAAGGCTGCATGGCACTGGAAGGCAAAGAAGTTATTGAAATATGATCTGGAGATTATTATATGAGAATCCATTCTGTTGGAACCCTAGGTTGGGCTCAGGGCCAGTTAACCACAAAAGGACGTTAAATTTATTTCTCATAGTTTCCTTTACTGTTGAATTGAAAGCAAGCTTTGAAACTGCTGTGTCTTTTTGGTTCCTCAAACTGAGACCCACTTGCCTCAAGTGAACGGCTATATTAATGCAGTATTGTGGATAATTAGTGAGACATTATTCATAAATGGTTGTATTTAATGAGTATGCAGTGTATTATCATTTATTGCATTTATGGGAAAGAAGCTGTACAGTGAGAAGAGCTGATAATAAACTTCATGGTGTTCATTATGTTCATACAAATATAGTCCGATTCTGTAAATTGTTACAAGAAATAAAGGCAGGGTAAGACATCTGTAATTGAAATAATTTAAAATGTAGTATTGAATTGAATAGAAATGATCACAGTCACTTCTTTTGTTTTAATTTAATTTGAACATCCCAGAGGAAATGAAGTAGGACCACCGATCCAGTATTTTTATAGTACTGTGTATTGTTCCAGGCCACTGCGTCCAGGAGACAAGGGCTGGGTGGCAAGGGCCCGTGTCCCACGACCTTCTAACAAGGATTACGTGGTACGACCCAAATGGGAGAATGAAACAGACATCAGCAGGGTGAGTGATATTTCTGATCAGACATTGTTATATAGCAAAAGTACGTATCCACCATCACCGCACTGTTCTTGACAGCCCACCTGACTCCATTCCATGTCAGATATTCATATTCAGTGGTAGTGCCAGGGCAACATTTTTAGTGATTTGGAAAACAGCTATATGAATAAATACATCAATAGAAAATGAAGTAACATCAATATTATCAAGCAGTAAAAGAAAGGGATATAGGGTTTCCACAGTAGTATTAACATATAAAGCAGAAATATCGATACCAGGCTCACAACCGCTCCTGGGCAGATAATATCAGCTTGGGGAATTATATTTATGTTAATATTCTTCCAGTTTTGCCCTAAAATACAAATGTTGAAAAGGCATGTAAATGAATTATAGTGTGAGGAACACACATGAGATGGCAGAGGTCATACCTGCACATTGAACAAACTCAAGAGTTGGCGCAACTTGAATAACCATGAGAGAGAGAATAAACAAGGGAGCAGGAATAAGATGTTTAGTGGAAGTGTTTCAGGAATCAGTATTAGAATTGTTCAACCATGGGAGTTTTAAGGATTTACTGACTGTATTTGTTCTCTTCCATATCAGTTTTCAAAATTCCAGTTTGTCAGTAAAGATGATTTATGATTGGTGTTAAGCACACCGGACATTAACAGGACTATTGACTCTGTATAGGAGTGTTGTTAGGAGAGGATGCTATTGTGACTGCCTGACAGCTTACAGAAATAATTCTTAAATGTACTAGAAAGAAAAAAAATGATTACTGTACAATGCAACAGAACCTGTACCTCTATTTGCCCTGAGAACAGCCAACTGTATTACATTCTGATACTTGAGTGTCAGGAATAATCAAGTTTACTGCTGTGATTGGACCAGCTGAACAACTACAGGAGTGTGGATTTAAATACATGGTCTATTCAGAAAGTCACAGAACTATTTTTTTATGATTCTTTTGGACATGCCTGCAACTGAGTGATGGTTATCACCTTCAAAGTACTCCCCTCCTGGATTGGTGTACCATCCCCAGTGCCATTGCCACTTCTGGAAACAGTCCTGGTGTGCCTTTTTTGGGAATCGTGTGTAGCTCCAGCTGTGAATATTCTGTAATCTCTTGAATTGTCTGAAATTGTCATCCTTTCAAAGTTGATTTCAGTTTGGGAAATAGGAAGAAGTCTGCCAGAGCCAGGTCAGGTGAGTAGGGTGGCTGAGGAAGCACGGTTGTGTTTGTGTTGGCCAAAGACACAAATCAGTAGCGATTCATGAGCTGGCACATTGTCATGATGGAAGAACCAAGAGTTGTTTCTCCACAGCTGAGGTCTTTTTCTCCTGAAATTTTCTCTTAGACGTTTAAGCACTTTGAGATAATACCAGTGATTCACTGTTTGCCTCTGTGACATAAGAATTCATGATGCACAACAGCCTTGATATAAAATACCATCAACATCCATGTTCTACCTGACCTGACCTGACCTTTTTCGGTCTTAGAGAATTTTTTTGCAACCCACTGTGAAGACTGCTTTTTTATTTCCACATCATATCCATAAACCCATGTTTCATCACTGGTTACAATTCTTTTCAAGAAGTTTTAATCCTCACTAGTGTAATCCAAAAGTTCCTGACAGATGGCAACACAGTTGTCTCTCTGATCCTATGTCAGAAGTTGTGGAATAAACTTTGAAACTACCTGATACATTTCTGATTGTGTAGTAAGAATGTCATGACATGATCCAATCGATACGTTGCACTCTTCTGCTATTTCCCACACTGTCAAATGATAATTAGAAAGCACAATTTCATGAACTTGCACAACATGAGCATCAACGCATGGCATTGACGGCCATCCCAAAAGTGGCTCATCATGTTGACTGCTGACCATCCTTAAATCTCCTGAACAATTCTTACAACATGTATGGCTCATGCACTGATCACCATGAACGTTTTTAATCATTTCATGAGTCTCCATAAATGTTTTCTGTAGTTTAAAGCAGTATTTAATGTTAATACAGTGCTCCTGAATATCAACCCTCTTGAATATCGGAAGACACGTGAATGTGAACAAAGAGCTATAGGGCGATGGCTGATCACAGCAGGATGAGGCAAAAAAGATGATAGTTAGGAAGCATGCCACTAAGCAGCACAACTTACCCGATGTTGCTAAGATGTTGAGTTGGCATACTGTTTCAAAAGTTCAGAAACTTTTTGAACAGACCACGTATTGTTGTGAAAATAATGTTTAATGTAAGGCTCAGATGAAACAATAAATTCACTTCAAGATGGATACAGATCATACACCTAACAGCTGAAGAATTTTGAGATTTGAATGGGTATATATATGGTATGTTATTTCAGTCAACAAAGAAGCAGATGAATCGTTTTGAGAAGCACATGAAGAACTACATGGACAGCAAACGCATGAAACAGGCAAGGCGAGCTGTAACAATATCAATTGAAGGCCGCAACATGGCTCTTTGAGGAGTACAGCCATTGTAAATATTTTAAAAACTCTATGTGAGAATTGTAATTTTGTTTTGCTGTATTACATTTGAAACTAGAGTACATTTGTAATCTACAGTGTAGTACATCAGCAGGACATGCTGCTTTCTAGCAGTTTAATATAGAATCCAAATGTCTTACATTAATTGCGTAGGCAAATGCTTTACAAGCATATCACTGTTTGCCATTAATTCAGTATTTCGGAAGTTTAAATAAAGTGTATTTTGAAATGATGGAAATTTGTATAGTGTGCTGAAATTTAACCTGGTTTCCTTAACTTCTAACGTATGGACTTTTAAATTGCCAGCAGCCCTCTGTGGCTGGAACTTAAATGGCCCTAAGTCTTTAACATTGCAGACTTTCAGAAAAAACTACATTTTTCTGTTCTGTACAACATAGAAATATGAACTGAAAACAACCTGAAAGACAATAAAATTTCCTACATATACACAAAAGAGCGATTTTACAAATGAAGATTAACTATGATTATTTTGTCATGAAATGCAAAATATAATCTTTAGTATATATGTTATGAAATTCCAAAGAACTTACCCATAGTTTTTTCTTCAGTCTTGAGACATGGTGATTTTGTAAATATAATCACACTATATATATATATATATATATATATATAATAATATTTTCTTCAGACTACACAAGTTTGAACTGCGTCACTTCACAGTTTACGATACCTCACATTCTGACGCGCTTGTGCCATATCTTGAAGCAGTCCATGACACACAGCCCACCATCACACTTCTTAACAATAGAAAAGGGCGCTCCTGCTTTTCTTATTTTGAGAACACACATGACGTCTCTGTTTCCCTTTGGTTGACCAGTATTGTGAATGTTTCACCTCCAGTTGACTCAGTTGGGCCCCAGATGAACTTGGCCTTCCCCAAGAAACGCCACTGACGATATTTGCCTCATGCAATTGAAGAATCATTTTGGGGGAGGGGGGTTTCCAGCTAAATCAAATAAATTATGTTGATTGACAAAGCAACACTTTCACCTGTTAGTAATACTCGCAAAATAGTGATGCAAATTAATTATAATACTAGTCGAAAAGAGTGCCAGTCCGACACTTATACCGAAAGTCGCAGTGTCGATGATGCCTTTTACTCACAAAGTATTACTGGCTCAGTGGGTTTATACCTCTTCTGAGACACAAAATAAAAATGATATATATAAAGAAATATATGACAGTCTTGACACTGACTTTCTAACTGATAAAGAAATATATGACAACCTGACACTGACTTCCTAACTGATAATTCGCTACTGAAAACAAATCCTTGAAAACGTCACACTTCCTTGAAGGCTCTAGAAGCACTAATCTGCGAGCACAGATGAATATTTACTCCTTAGTTCTTAAAACAAAACTGGGCTCTGTTTGGCTGACCAGGTCATAAACAGTCATATCTACACGTAAATAGTATTGAAACCAGTACCGTGATAAACGATTTCGTTGTTCAGAGCTAACGAATGAACCACTGATATGACCTTGTTTTGATTTCAAACTGTCAGCACTACCAAAGAGAGCATTCGATAAATATGACATTTGGCCACAGCCTGGTGTAACTTGCTGTTACACACACACACACACACAAATTCGTAGGTTAAAGTGTAATGTAATGAAGGCCTGCGTGGGTATTGTTCTTTTTCTGTATATCTCTCTCTCATGCGCACACGCGTGCACACGCACACAAAGAGATTGCACATAGAAATGATTGTGATTAATACCAAGGCCTTCAGAACATTTATTAGAATCTACTTATATTCAAAATTCAGTGTTTAACTGCCAACATTAAACTAACCTTCCATTAAGCACTGGTTAGATCAGTAATAACTTATGCTTACCCCACCTGGCAGTTTCCAGCAGACACCTATCTCTGAAAATTGCGGGACCTGCAAAGAAGGTTCTCTGCACCACGGGAAATTTTCTAAGGTGCACACTGGTCAGCGAATGAACATGTTTGCAGGACAAGGTGAAGCCAGACATAGAAAATATAAGAGGCTTAAACTTGGCGGTGGTCAAGCTTATGACCGTTCAAGTGAATAAGCTGGCACTGTAGCATAAGATAAGACAGGCATGATTTGCTTCCCAAAGCTTGGACTGACAGAGCACTTGTAATAGTGGAATAACATGCTATATGTGCGATACACACACTTGACAAAAGCTAAGCCTATTCATAAGAGACAAACCAATCTTCTCGTTAGAGAGGATGTTGCATAAGGACCATGACCACAAGTGTTTAGTAGCAAAAATTATCTGCTGGTCATTTCTCAGGGAGCTTGGTGCCAAGGTGAACTGACTGACAGTAAACCGCCAGTCATAAAGTAACTCTGACTTTGACAGTAAAATGTGGTCATGTGTCCCATGTTACTTGGAACCAAGAATCACTGTGCTAGCAAGGGTTGGTAGCAATTTAGCAGGCAGGCGCAATCCCCAGCATGGAGGCGGGTTTGGATATATTTACTGTAGCCCTGCTAGCTGTAGGAGGCAATGAAAAGGGAACCTTGTGCCTGGGAGTGTAATTGGGCTACCCTGTTCCTGGGGGATATAAATGTGGAGACCTGGCCCTTCAGGTTAGGGGTCTTGAATCTGAGATCGTATATGGTCACGAATCCCATGGGACTGGTTTCCGAAATGACTGCACTGACAAGGGCCAGCAGCAATCATAAATGACACCTGTCGACTCGTCAGGGAGGGTGACCCACATGAACAAACCTGCAGCTGTCTAACAATAACAAATATCTGGTCTTGGGCCACAGATGGGGCTTAACACCAAGATAGGCTGGCTGACTGACTGTCAATCATAACATAACACTGATTTTGAGCTCCTACATAATTTTGTATATTCATGATTACAGAATGAAATTGTGCAGGAAACAAGCAGAGGTCATACAAAGTCACAAAAATGCAAATGTTCACGATACCGGAATAAACAGCCCAACACAGAAAATACACGAGGCTTATACTTAGTGGCGATCAAGCATATAACTGTTCAAGTGACGAGGCAGCCATAGTAACCTGAGCTACAGCACAATCTGCTGTGCCAGGCCTAAATTGACAGAGGTGCTTTATATGTTGTACATAGATAAATACTAGAGTTACATACAAAACTGTGAAATAATATGAGGAACCAGATAGATTCTAAAGGGTTCTGACGATGGTGGATGACACACAGAATTACTGGGTTTTTGGACTTTTTCCATTGTCCAGAATTCTAGGTAATAGAGGACAAGACGTTTTGAAAATTGGATCTGTTTTCCATCTTTGGGTGAGAAAGGAAAACACATGCTTAGTTGGGTCCCTTAGAAATTGAGATTAGCTCTTCCTAAGGGGCCCAACTGAGTAGGTGTCTTCCTTTCTCACCTGAAGACAGAAACAGATCCAATCTCTGAAACGTCTTGTCCTCTGTTACCTAGAATTCCAGAGATGGAAAAAGTCCAGAAATCCAGTAATTCTGTGAAGGAACCAGATGCTTGATAAATGACTATATAGAATGCTGACAAATACTCATAGAATTGTAAATATAGATAACATGTACTGCTTACTATGACCGCCACAAATGACAGACGTATTCTGTCATTGGGGAGGGAGTCCCACATTGATAAAATTGCAACCGTCTTACAGTAAAAAAAAAAACTGGTCTTTGGCTCCAGAAGGGGCTTTATACCAAGACTGACTGGCCGACTGACTGTCAGTCATAATGTAACTTGATTTTGACTTGAGCTAAATAGGATAGGTATTATCTGCGTTGCAAACCCTGGACTAACATAGGACTTGTATATATTGTAAAAGGAAGATTTTTCAGTATGATGCTGCTAGTATATGTGTGATGTGTACACTCAACTGAGACCAGCATATTATTAGCAGAAAAGCCCACCTCTCATCAGAGAGGATGTTGCATGAATGTATAAGGGGTGGGCCTTCACGGCGCCTGCACCGTGACCTACAGTGATCTATTGTGTTTCCCCTTTTGATTATCCCCTCAGCAATCCTGCAGGATTTTGTATGTGGGGGTGTTGAAATAGTCACTTGGCTCCATAAAGTATTGACCCAAATGAAGCATTCTTAAATAAGCTAAGGCCTCACATTCACACAGGATGTGTGTGGCTCTTTCATTTTCTTCTTGACACCTCTCACAAGTGGGACTGTTACTTAGTCCCAGTTTGAAGAGTTGTCCATTAAGGTGACAGTGTCCTGTAAGTAGTCTCACCACCCATCATAGCTGGTTCCTGTTTAACTTCAACAGTTCCTTCGCTCTTTTAGCAGAGGGTCCTCGTATGAGTCCCTTTGCTTGCCTGAGTCCAGTCAAGGATCCCCAGTATTTCTTGTCTTTCATGTTTGTCCAGTCCCTGATTGCCTTTCTGGAATCTCCTATAGAGATGCCACAGGCTGGTTCAGGTCCTGTGAATGGATGTTCAGCTCCAATCTTAGCCAGTTGATCTGCTGTTTCATTTCCAGCAATACCCTCATGCCCCAGTACCCTTATCAGTTGTATCCTGTTATGTTTGGCCAGTTCCATGAGGGTTTGGTGGCAATCCCAGACCAATTTTGAGTTGATCTGGTGTTTGTCAAGCTCTTTTAAGTGCAGCTTGGCTGTCAGATAGAATGTAGATGTTCCTGTTTCTGTAGTTCGTATTTAAATTCTTCATAATACATGCCTTAATTGCATATACGTGGTGCAATCCAAAATTTCCCGAAATTTGAATATTGCGCATGAATGGTTATGAGTACATTGAAATACCGCTAGGTGTCTCCCCACACACTCTTCTTGAATCAGTGTGGAAAGCGGCGTCGAGTTGAGTGGTTGGGTTTTCGTGAGTTTGTGGTTTTGCGATTGCTGACCTGAAAGCAGCTTGTCTATATAAAGTTTTGTTTTAAATTTGGGAAAACCGCAGCAGAAACGCATCAATGTTGAAGCAAGCTTTTTGTGACAACAGTTTAGGCCAGACACAAACTTATGACTGGTATAAGCGTTTAAAAAATGGCCGAACATCAACTGATGATGACGATCATTCGGGATGGCTGCATACGGCTAACATTGTGCAGGAATTTTTGGCTAAAAACAAGATGGCAGTTGTTCACCACCCACCATACTCTCCAGACTTAGCTCCATGCGACTTCTTTCTCTTCCCCAAGATGAAAATCAAGTTGAAGGGGGGAAAATTTTATACAGTTGAGGAAATTCAAGCGGAAACGCAGATGGTGCTAAACATCCTAACAAAA